GAAGTAAGGCTGCATTGCTCCAGTACTGCTGAGTCCCATCTCTCTGGCCCTGACAGATCTGTCTGATGAGGCTGACGCTCTGGCCTTTGCCATTTGCTTCCATCCCCAGGTCCCACTGAGGAACCACCTCCTAATGTACCACAGCCTGCCCCAGAGCCGCCAGCTGGACCTCCAGACCCTGCTCCCCGCCTGGATGAACGCCCCTCTTCTCCTATCCCTCTCCTACCCCCACCCAAGAAACGCCGGAAAACTGTTTCCTTCTCCACTACAGAGGAGGCGCCAGCCCCAGAGCCTCCCCCAGCCGCCCCACCACAGGCCAAGTCACCTGGTCCAGTCTCTCGAAAAGTCCCCCGGGTTGTGGAGCGGACCATTCGTAACCTGCCCCTGGACCATGCGTCTCTGGTCAAGAGTTGGCCTGAGGAGGTGTCCCGAGGGGGTCGGCATCGGGCTGGAGGTCGTGTTCGCTCTACTGAGGAAGAAGAGGCCACTGAGTCAGGGACAGAAGTGGACCTGGCAGTGCTGGCTGACCTGGCCTTGACCCCAGCCCGACGTGGGTTGGCTACCTTACCCACTGGTGATGACTCAGAGGCCACAGAGACCTCAGACGAGGCTGAGCGCCCAAGCCCTCTACTCAGCCACATCCTCTTAGAACACAACTATGCTCTGGCCATCAAGCCCCCACCTGCCACACCAGCACCTCGGCCCCTGGAGCCAGCTCCTGCCCTTGCTGCACTCTTTAGCTCCCCAGCTGATGAAGTCTTGGAGGCCCCTGAGGTGGTAGTGGCTGAGGCAGAGGAGTCAAAACAACAGCTGCAACAGCAGCAGATTCCAGAGCAGGAAGGGGAGGATGAGGAGGAAGAGGAAGAGGAGTCCGAGTCTTCAGAAAGCAGCAGCAGCAGCAGCAGCAGTGATGAGGAAGGGGCCATCAGGAGGCGCAGCCTTCGCTCCCACACTCGACGAAGACGGCCACCACTCCCACCCCCACCCCCACCGCCTCCTTCCTTTGAGCCAAGGAGTGAATTTGAGCAGATGACCATCCTATATGACATTTGGAACTCAGGCTTGGACTTGGAAGACATGAGCTATTTGCGGCTCACGTATGAGCGGCTGCTGCAGCAGACCAGTGGTGCTGACTGGCTTAACGACACCCACTGGGTCCATCACACAAATATCCTAAGCCACAGAGCTCATCCTCCTTGCACCCCACAGCAAAACACAGGGCTGGGGCATGGGCAGCCTTCCCTGGGGTCACATGGCAGGAAATGTCATCCTAGGGCTGCCCTGGTCTCCTGTCTAACTTACTGTGCTTTGCTTAGCCTTGAGGTTCTCCAGCTGCCAGCTGTCTTTCCTCTCTGCCTTGTGTCTCTTCTGGCAGAACGGATAACGTCTAGACTTAGCCTTCTCCAGTCTGTCTCCTCACACAGTATTCTCGCCATCAGACCAGCTACCCTGTGGGCTGGGCCTGGGTTGGTCAGGAGGTGTGGGCCCCAAGGGACTGGCCAGTGAGAAACCTGTTCTCTTCCTTAACCCCCTGCACTCACCAACCTAAGCACTCCAAAGCGCAAACGGCGGCCCCAAGATGGGCCCCGGGAGCACCAGACAGGCTCCGCACGCAGCGAAGGTTATTACCCCATCAGCAAGAAGGAGAAAGACAGGTACCTGGATGTGTGCCCTGTCTCAGCCCGACAGCTGGAAGGTGGAGACACTCAGGTAGAGCCCTGCCCGGAGCCCTCGCTTGCTACTTCTTCATGTCCTTTGAGCACTTACCACCTCCTTGTCTTGCTCACAGGGGACAAATAGGGTGCTTTCTGAGCGACGGTCAGAGCAGCGGCGGTTACTAAGCGCCATTGGCACCTCAGCCATCGTGGATAGTGATCTGCTAAAGCTAAACCAGCTCAAGGTCAGGAGGGGAAACTGGAAGAGGGAGGAGACCCAGTGAAAAACACTGCAGCAAGGAGAGTTGCCCCTGGTGGGATCCTGTGGGACAGGGGGTGCTGAAGGGAAGGGGAGGTGCATGTTTGTGGAAGCATCCAGCAGTCAAAGCTGCTTTCTGCCCCCTAGTTCCGGAAGAAGAAGCTCCGATTTGGCCGGAGCCGGATCCATGAGTGGGGTCTGTTTGCCATGGAACCCATTGCAGCCGATGAAATGGTGATAGAGTATGTTGGCCAGAATATCCGCCAGGTGAGACTCCACTCCTAGCACCAGGCCAGTGGCTGACTGGACAGTAGCAAGGGATTTTATGTTACCATTTGATCCTTTGTACAGAGCGTCACTCCTTGCCACCATTGCCACTGCCCCGGGTCTGAGACTTCTCTTATCAAATTTAGTATTAGTGGTATAGCAGGGAACACTGGACAGTAATCATAGTAAAGAATAGTGTTTGATACTAGAGGGTGACAGGTATTGTGGGGACCCAGAATCTCGCAGAGACAGTGACGTGATACTCAGTCTGAAAGCTAAAAGGTGATGAATTTCCAGGGCCGTGGGCTGTGTACATTCTGTTCTTGGGACAGTGTGTACAAAGGCTAAGAAGCTGCGTCCTCCGTCCTCCTAGGAGGACAAGACCAGTGCCTCTGTTCAGGTAACCTCCTCAGGGCCAGTGACCGATAGGAGCCTGGAAGCGTGGGCTTGTGTATGGGGAGTGGCCTCGCGGATAGCTGTGGAAAAAAGAGCCCATGTGGGCTGGCCTCGGTGGGGCTTGATGGCAGATCAAACGCTAGGTATGGATGAGGTAGTGGCAACAGGGATGACAGAAATCTAGTCTGTGGGTTCAAAATAGTTGACAGAACCAGGTATTTGGTTGTAGAGGGTGAAAATAAGGTGGTGGTGGCAAAGCCTTTCTCAGGGCATCCCCATTAGCCTCTAGGAATGTGGTTGGGAGCAGCAGAAGGAACAGAAATGGGATCAAGATTTGTCCAAGTGCAGACATGAGGCTCAGGTTCCCAGGGGTGTAGGAAGGACATTCCACAGCCCTTCTGAGGCAGACTTGGCTGGAGATTGAAGCCTGGGAGGAGTCCTCACCACAGAGCTCGTGGTTAGAACTCTGCAGAGGGGTGAGGTCACCCGTCAAGAGTGTGGCGAATGCATTGCCTGTTTCCTGGGAATAGCTGCCCCTTGCTGAACAAGGCTTTGTCCTGGCACAGACCGTCTGCCATCTGCTCTCACCAGCTGCCCAGTAGGTGCTTGTTTGGGAAGGATAGTCCTAGGAAAGGCTTCAGTTCAAGGCGTGGCCACTGTCCTTGCAGAAGCCAAGGGACTGCAGCATGCTGTGGGCTCCACTCTGGCCACACAGCTTCCTACAAGAGCCAGTGCTCATTTCTCCCGACTCTTCCTGTGGCTGACTTTGGGTTAAGATGGGTGGGAGCAGGCGGATCCAGAGGCTGGCCCGGGAGCCGGTGGCTTGTCCAGAGGGACTGCTGGAAGCAGGTCTAGCCTGCAGTGGCTGAGGTCCGTGACATGTGCATCTTACCCTCCCAGATGGTAGCTGACATGCGGGAGAAGCGCTATGTTCAGGAGGGCATTGGCAGCAGCTACCTTTTCCGGGTGGATCACGACACCATCATTGATGCCACCAAGTGTGGCAACCTCGCCAGGTTCATCAACCATTGCTGCACGGTGCGCTCAGGGCTGGGCCAGGGCTGGGCTGGGCAGGGCTGAGGTGGGGCTGTGGCTTACCCTGCCCCTCCTGCAGCCCAACTGCTACGCTAAGGTGATCACCATCGAGTCTCAGAAGAAGATCGTGATCTACTCCAAGCAGCCCATTGGCGTGGACGAGGAGATCACCTACGACTACAAGTTCCCGCTGGAGGACAACAAGATCCCGTGTCTGTGTGGCACTGAAAGCTGCCGTGGCTCCCTCAACTGAGGTGGGGCAGGACTGCTGCCCGCACCCCTATTTATTCCCCCTCGGTGCCCTCAGCTCCCAGCACCCCCAGCCTTAGTGGGCTCAGCAGAGCCCACATGCCCCCATCTCCACATGTGGGGTAGGGGCCCTGAGCCCAGCAAGGGAGCCTCAGTCCTTTGAGGTAACTTCTGCCTCCCCTATACCCTGTGCCCAACCACCCTCTTAATTTTTTTTTTCTTTGCGAAGAAGAAGCTGTAAATGTTTTGTAGCTGCCAGCAGCTGTTTCCTGTGGAAACCTGGGGTACCAGCCTGTATAGATGCTATTCTTGGGGGCTGCAAAGCCCTTTGCTTCATGTTAATGGGGTCTTCCCCTTCTGCCCTATGTGCACCCCTCCCCAGTTTAGGGGTCTCTGGGGCAGTGGCCATGTTCTCCCCCTGGGGGGGGCCTTTGGCCCCTAGTCCTGGGAACTCTGTGCCTGGAACCCTGCCTCATCTGTTCCTGCCAGACCCTGTGGGTCACCCTCCCAGCCTGGTGTCCCAGGGCGCTGGCTCAGTGGGCCAGGATGGTGGGGGCAGGCCCTTCTTGTTGGGCTGGATTGTACATATGTTAATAGTGAAAACCCAACGCCACATTTTTATAATTGTGATTAAACTTTATTGTACAAAACGCTTGGTCAGTATCTTTGGGAGGAGCAGGTTGGGGAGCGGGTGACGCAAGAGAGGGGAAAACGGGTAGCCTGAAATTTGGGGTAAATAGACCGCAGACAGCAATACTGCTTTGGACCAACCACCTAACGGGCTGCAACAACCATGCCAGTATCTCCCCAGGGAGGCTAGCCGGAGTTGGGCCAAAATGAGGCTTCCCCTGCTCTCCCTCCCCAGAACCACAGCTGGTGCTGAGCCTCCAGCCTACTGGGAAGCCCAGCAGGAGGGAAGAACCAAGGTCATGTAGCAGTGATGAGGTCACCCCACCTCCTCTACTCCATTATCCCCAAATACTACATTCCCGAGTGGGCAGCCTCTGTCCCCTGCCTGCTGCTAGAGAGTGCACTGGCCACCAGGGGGCACTCTGGGAAGAGAATTCCCTTCTTCAAACCCCCTTGCCCGCCCACAGGGGTGGAGGCTAGGCTGGTCTCCTTCCTGGAATGGGCCAGGAGGGTGGAGCAAAGGAAAGGAAGGAAGCCTGTGTGCACCTAGCTGGCCCATCAGCCCGTGACACAACCTCTCCCAGTGGCCAGTTTGGGCGCCCTAGGACTAGCTACAGGTAGGTAGAGATGATCCTGAGCCCCAGATGACCCTTAAGTTTCAGCCCTTCCCACCTCCCTCTACCCTCCCGATCCAACTCCTTGCCTTCTTTCCCATCCTTCAGTAACCCCCACTTGCTTTTTCCATCCACCTCAATCCCTAATCTCTTTCTGTGCCCAATTCTTCTGCGCCCAATTCTACTGACTCGGCAGTTAAGGTCAAAGGCCAGGGAGCCTTATCGCTACAACACAGGAGTGTAAGCCACAGCGACTACTCAGCCCCTTCCACCCATATCACTGTCCCCATGCACTAGACCCCTTCTGGGCATAACACATAGTTGGAGCAGGTACTATTGGGCATTTCCCGTGAGCTAAATTCTCTTCCCACAGCGGGGCATGGCAGACTGTGCACAGGGGCCAGAGTTGGTGTACCTGGTCACGGGTGGCTGCGGCTTCCTGGGGGAGCATATCGTCCGAATGCTGCTGGAACGGGAGCCCAGGCTCCGGGAGCTGCGTGTCTTTGATCTGCACCTGAGTCCCTGGCTGGAGGAGCTGAAAACAGGTGACTGGAGCGGGGCAGTGGCTGGAGGAGGGTGTGGTGGCCCACTCCTTCCCCAACTGCGGTAACTCCACTTGTGGAAAAGATGATTCCTGTTTGTGTGCTCCTGCCCACGGGAACGTGTGAGTCACTGGGAACACGTGGCTCCCAGGGTGCATGCACGCCCAACTCAGCAGCTCTGACACCGCCTTGGGCCTCTCCGCCAGGGCCTGTGCAAGTGACCGCTATCCAGGGGGATGTGACTCAGGCCCACGAGGTGGTAGCAGCCATGGCTGGATCTCATGTGGTCATCCACACAGCTGGGCTGGTGGATGTGTTCGGCAAGGCCAGTCCAAAGATCATCCACAAAGTCAACGTGCAGGGTGAGGTGCTGCCTGCCTGTCGTTCCCTAGTGTGTGACCTGAAATCACTGGGCCTCCCGTCATTTGTATTTGAGGGCCTGTCTTTCTGATGACCTCGCCCCATCACTGCTGATCCACCCTCTCCTGACCTGTGGTGGTTCTCCTTGGACACTGGGTGGGACAGAAAAAGATGTTGAGACAGGAAGACACGGCTTGCATCTGCCCCTTCCCTCCCCAGGCACACAGAATGTGATTGACGCTTGTGTGCAGACTGGAACTCAGTTCCTGGTCTACACAAGTAGCATGGAAGTCGTGGGACCTAATGCCAAGGGCCAACCCTTCTACAGGTGAGCTTAGCCCCACTTAATTTCAGAGCCCATTTCCCTCCAGCACTGAGCCCTTTTTCTCTCTCTCTAGGGGCAATGAAGACACCCCATATGAGGCAGTCCACAAGCACCCCTACCCACGCAGCAAAGCCCTTGCTGAGCAGCTGGTCCTGGAGGCCAATGGAAGGAAGGTACACCGCAAAGATCTATAGGGCTTGGGGTGCAGAGGCAGAGCTCGACCCCCAGGCTTGTCTGCATCCATCTCCAGCCCCTGGTGGCTATGGTGGAGGGGTGTCCTCCAACACTTCCCTTTGCCACCAGGTCAACGGAGGGTTGCCCCTGGTGACATGTGCCCTTCGACCCACGGGCATCTATGGTGAAGGTCATCAGCTCATGAAAGACTTCTACCACAAGGGCCAGCAAATGGGGGGTCGGCTATTTCGGGCCGTCCCAGCTTCTGTGGAGCACGGCCGAGTGTATGTTGGTAAGGACAAGGCAGAGCAGTGGGCGATCAGAGCGAGAGGACTGTCCCTGAAGGTGGCAGAGTCGTGGGTGTACTCCTGGTTCCATGAGGGCTCGGGCAGTGACCACGTGGGCGCTTAGTGCGTGGGCTGCGAAGGAAACCACATCCATGCCAGTTGGGATGGCTGACATAAAAACATGTCGTAGGTTATGCCAAGCGTTGGAGCAATGGGAGTGGTAGCTCTCCAGAGAAAGGGGCAGCATCTACACAGGCACCAAGCGGCGGCTGTGTGCCCAGGAGGGCTGGTAACGACAGGGCCTTGGGGAGAGTCAGCCTTGACCAGGCGGCAGTGAGGTGCGGGCGGCACGTACATGGGACCACGTAAGGCCCTGGCCCAGGTCCCTCAGTGGTTGTGTCTACCTCCCTCCCTACTGGCAGGCAATGTGGCTTGGATGCATGTGCTGGTGGCCCGGGAGCTGGAGCGGCGGGCAGCGCTCATGGGTGGCCAGGTGTATTTCTGCTATGATAAGTCACCTTATAAAAGCTATGAGGACTTCAACATGGAGCTCCTGGGTCCCTGTGGACTTCGGCTGATAGGCAGCCACCCCCTGCTGCCCTACTGGCTGCTGATGCTGCTGGCTGTCCTCAATGCCCTGCTACAGTGGCTGCTTCGCCCCCTGGTGCTGTACACACCCATGCTGAATCCTTACACACTGGCTGTGGCCAACACCACCTTTACCGTCAGTACCAACAAGGCACAGCGCCATTTTGGCTACAAGCCCCTCTTCTCATGGGAAGAGAGCAGGGCCCGCACCATTCACTGGGTACAGACCACGGAGGGTTCAGCCTGGTGATGGCAGGGCCAGGGCCTGGAGGTCACTGTGGCACATACTCCAGATCCTGAGCCCTCGGAGCCGGGAGGGAGAGAAATGGCCGCTGTTGGGAGCTGCCACACTAACTACACAGACCCTGAGCCTGGTTGGTATCTCAGGCTCCAAGTTGTAGTACAGAGTTTGGGGAAAGGCCCATCTTTGGTGCCAACTGAGGCCTGTCGGCTGGTTGGTAAAACTGATTCCTGAGTGGTCTCACTACCCCTTTCCCATTTCTGCTTTCACAAGCAAAAAGGGGCAAAGATTCCAGAGAGCTCATGCTGGTCTCTTCAGACCTGGCCCCTGCCTCACCGCCTCACCGGGCTCTCCTTAAGGGGTTAGGGTTTGATCACTTTCTGAAGTGTATTTCTTTTAGACATTTACCTTTTAATTTGCTTTAAAGAAAGCTGAAGAAATAAATGATTTGTCCATGTCTTGCCTCTCCTACCAAGTTCAGCTCCTGTGATAGTGTTGGAGTCCTGCCTCAGGAGGCCACCATGCTGTATCTGGCCAAGCCTGGATTAAAATCATTTTTCAAGTCTGTGTCTACCTGTTGCCCCCCCCCCCCCCCCCCCCCGTGTCACGGCGCCGGTCCCGTGTGGGGACGGAAGGAAGTGAGCACACGGCAAGCCCGCTGTTGGATTAGTTGCTATTTCTCCCGTCCCACCAGGCCCAACCTGGCCCAGGATGGGGTTCGGGGCCACTGGGGACAGGACATGCAGGTCTGGGGCAGGGGGGTCAGAATTTCCTGTATTTTATCCATTTGCAACTTGGTCACCAATAGAGAGAAGGAAGACCCTGAGGGCTAACAGGAGGGTGGCCAGGTTCTGGGCCCCCAGCCAGGCCCCAGGAGCCCTGTCCCCTCAGGGGAGGGGAGGGAGAGAGTTCTAGAAACCAATGGAGAAAAAGAGAAGGGGGAAGGGGCTCATGTCAGCAAACATGGCTACATCACATGACACGCCAGCAACACAGAAACACACCAACGCACACAGCTGCACAGCGGGCGTGGGGAGAGGCTCAGTGGGGGGAGAAGGGAGCTGGGGGCAACCATCTTGTCCTCTGTGGGGAGGGCAGAGTAAGTGCATAGAACACATTGTGTACACGCTCAAGGTATGACAAGAGCGTGCTGAGCCACGGGCACGTGAGATGGACAGGTAGTGTGCTTTGTACGAGGCAAGGAAGGGGAGAATGGAAGCATTGAGTCCTGGCATGGGCCCGGGACCACCAAGGGGGCACGGTTGGGCTCGATGGGCTTAGGTGTGTGGAGGGCAGGCAGCACACACTCAGATCTGAGAACATGCAAAACACACCAGCCCCCAGGCAACCATCCAGGACACACGCGTGGACAGCAGTCAACAGGCATGTCGATCCTGTGAGGTACGGATCTTGTAGAAAGCTGGGCTACAGCAGACTCTCGGGGCTGCTCAGCGACTGGAGGCTCAGTAGCAGGCAGCCATGGGTCCAGTGCCGTGGAAAGAGGCAGGGGCAGCATGCCAGCCACAGCCCTGTCCTTGCGAACACCGTGACTGGGGTGTGGGGGAGGCTGCTGGAAACACGTGGGTTAGAGGGAGTTCTGGCTGAAGAAGGGGATGGGTGCTGGGGCCTCTTCTGACATCTTCAAAGAAGCCAAGGGTTGGGGCGGGAGGCTCTGGGCGGCCCCTGACCCATAGAAGAGTATTCTGGGATGGATAGGGAAGCTCCCTCCTCAGCACAACTAATCTGGGGGTTACATACATGTGGACATGGACCAAGAAACACAAGCATGCACACACACACACACACACACACACACACACACACCAGGTGGACAGGGCTCAAACAACAGGCAGGAAAGGGGCAGCTATCAGCGCTGGCTCAGAAAAGTCCTGGCTAGCTGGAAGGTCATATTTGCAAGATCTCGCCCTCAGTCCTGCAAGCACTTGTACGCACACACACTCCACGTGGCTGCCCTATTCCAGGCCAGGGCGCATGCACCTCCGTCTACCACCTCCACGTTCACAGGACTTCCAGCACCGTCCTTTATCCTGCTGACCTCCTGCCCGTTCCCCCAGAACCCACAAACCACACAGCCGTCCGAACGATGTCAGGGCCCCTCCATTCCCTCCTGCCGGAGACTAGTCCCAGTCCCACCCTGCCTGTCACGCAGCCTCAGTGGTGCCCGTGACTGATGTTTCGGCAGTACACATGTCCGGAGGACAGGTTCAAGGACGACCCTAAGTGGCCACTCAGGTATGTGTGAAATCCAGCTGCCCAAACCCAAGTTACTTGAGAAAAGAGTCCAGAGTGTCAGCTGGGGCAGTGAGGACAGACAGTAGCCCCTAAGGTGAGTTTGGGCAGCCCTTGGCATCTGATCTCATGAGTCCCACCATTCTCCTTCCAGGAGACAGTCATGCACAAATGGGCGTGGCCCGGGGTGGGCGCTCCGCTGTTGATGTGGAAGGCCCTGGCACCTACACGTGGCCACCTTTTGGGGACTTCCCCGGCCTCGGCATTCCAGAGCCCGCTAGTATGTGCTGGTTGTCCAAGGCTCGGTACTGCCCTCGGGCAGAAACAGAAAGGTAAGAGTCTGGGTGTGTGTTTCCCCATCAGGTGGTCTGGTGCGGACGCTCCGCTCGCACCTTCTGATGGAGCAGTGTGTATGGCTGCAGTTCTGAGGAGATGGGGAGCAAGTAACTAAGCCCGAAGACACAAGCCTGGATGGGGAGCATACCCTAAAATGTAAAGAGTGTGTGTGTGTGTGTGTGTGTGATACCCAGAAGCAGAAACATGTTATGAGGTCCCTACGGAAGCACACACGAACACACTCAGTCATATTCCAGGTGGCATAGAAACAGCTATCTGTACCCACCCAAAACTAGTGTCTGATTCACAGCATGGAGGGCTCTGTCTGAGGAGAAAACTGTCAACACTTCACACACGCACACACAGACACACACAGACACACACACACACACACACACACACACACACACACGTCTTGTGCACAAGCCTGTCACATCATCTGTTAAGGAAAATACACACTCATACCAACTAAGCCAGGTTGCTTATCATTTACACATATAGGCTTCCACTTGCCTTCCCTGAACTCCAAGGCCCAACACAGACACACACACACACACACACACACATCCCCAGGACATGATGTAACCCCTGGTAGTGGCCAAGCCAGGAGAGTTTGTGAGTTTGTTATACATCGCATGGGATGTGGGCCATGGTCGCTGGGCCTCCCTGGATCCCCAGGATGTGAATTTCCCTCACACCTACCTCCTGCTCCAAATGTATCAGATGGGAGAGAAGGTCAGCGGAGGAATTGCTTTTGCATTGTGTTTTCACACTCAAAAAACTCCATGTACGCGCACTGTATGGCCACAGATCTACGGACACACATACACACGTGCACGCACACTTGTGCTACACACACGTCTATTCACAGAGGACAGGTTGGGCTTCGGGGGGGCTGCTGTGTTATACTCGGCTACCGTGGGCACAGCAACCGGGTAGAAAGGGAAGTTGAGACCACACAGGATGAAGGTGGCAGCAAGAAAAGGTTCGGGGCATCTACATACATCTACACAAGTACACACACACACACACACACACGCTGGGGTGCCCTTGAGCATGTGCCCTCGGCATGCATGTTGGTATGCATGTGTGATCACGCCTGCTGCTATCTATGCGCGGCAAGGTGGAGGGGGAGCCATGGCAAGGTGAGAGCCAGGAACTCCAGGGTCTGCATGACGGGAGAGTGGCTGGAACTGCCTGGGTCCGTTTTGGGGAGTGAGCTTGGAGCAGGGAAAAGAGTGAAAGGGAGGTGGGGGTATTGCTCCCGATGTGTGGGGAGGGTCCAGGGGAAGAGAGGGTAGGGGCCTACAAGCCCAGGGTCCCCCCAATGGATGACGCCAAGACCACCCCCAGCACCACACAGCAAATGATGATCATGATTTTCTTCTGCACGTGGAAAGAGGAGAGAGAGAAGGAGAGAGAAAGAGAGAGAGGAAGAGGGAGAGAGAGGGAGAGGGAGAGAGGGAGATAGACAAATGAAGGGAGAGTTGGGATGTGGGACATGAGGAGAAATAGGGGAGAGAAAACAGAAACAGGAAGCGGTCAGAGCCGTAGATAAGGCCTCTCACCCGTGTCATTTCATAACTGCCGCACCCCACCCACTGGCCACATCCCACCCCCCCGAGTCAGGCCACCTCCATGGCTTACCCTCCGCGCCTTGCTCTGATATTTCACAGCTTTCTTGGTGTCGGACACGGCTCGTTCCACATAGTCCACGGAATGTTCCACGTTGTACTCGATGCGGTCGATCATCTCGCCCTGCGCACAGAGGGAGCGTGAAGGGGGAGGAGGGCGGAGGGCTGGGCTGCGGAAGGCAGCCGTGGGGCTCAGGAAGACCGCCAGGCTGGAGCGGCAGGGCCTGTACCTGGCTCTCCACAAGCATGGCCATGTCCACGAACATGTCGTGCAGCTCTCGGATGCTGGTCTCCAGTTTGATGATCTCGTTGTGCCTTGTCTCGATCTCATTTAGTGCTTGCTTTGTCATCTGCGAGTCCATTTTGATCTGAGGTGCCGGGGGAGGGGACGGGGGGGGGGGAGAAAGGGCCATGAGTACCCTTTGCCCGAGTAACCAGCTTCAACCTAATCCTTGATCCTTGGTCAAGTTGTTTACCCTCCTCTGGACTTTGCTGACGCCACCTAGAAAGCGTGTGGATCATAGGAGTGTCTACCTCAAAAGATTATTCGGGAAACTGGACGAATTTATGTGTGGAACTTCCAAGGGTTCCCGGAACGCCATGAGCATCAAAAAGAAGTTTGTGGAATTACAAGATAAAGCTTGTACAGAGTCCACAACCTCCCCGCAGGGGGAAGCCCAGGGAAGGGAGATGGCTGAAAGCTGACAGGGTGATGCCAGAGATACAGCAGGTGGGAGAGCAGCGACAGACAGGGAGGCTCAGCTGAGAAAGCACTGTGCCCACAAGTCGATAGGAGCCTGCGTGAGATGGAGCAGGGAGCAAATAAGGACAGAACGCACATGGGCCTCAGGAAATTGGGAGGAGAAATGCCAGCTCACGGCACAATGCCCCCTTAGCTCCTGACCTGGGTCTCTGGTCCCCACTGTGGGCCATTGCTCTTCTCTAACATCTACCCACCCCTGGTACCTCCAGGCCACCCTAATACCCCCGGCCACACCACCACTCTGGCAGCCAGGCCTCTGTCTTTCTTTCTACCCAGATTTCCTGCCCAAACTGTAGAAGCCAAGGTCATCCGACAGCTGTCCTGCCAGTTCCCTCTCCTGTCTGGGTTTTGATTGCTCTTTTCCAACCTTCTCATATCTAAAAGCTCATTTGTCTTAGATTTTTCAAAGCACTGGAATGTGAAGTGTATATGTTTTCGCACTAGAATGTGAAGTGCCCTCACATGGCACAGCTGGAGCTGGAGTTAGAGGAAGTTGTAAGCCCCTGACAGGGTGCTGGGAACTAACTCTGTGCCTTAACCACTAACCCGTCTCTCCCCATATCCTGTCTCTTAAAGCCCATTTCATTGATCCCTCTCTCTCTCTCTCTGTTTTTTTTTCGAGACAGGGTTTCTCTGTGTAACCCTGTCTGTCCTGGACTCACTTTGTAGACCAGGCTGGCTTCGAACTCACAACGATCCGCCTGCCTCAGCCTCCGTGAGTGCTGGAATCACAGGACACCATGCCTGGCTTGACTCCAGCATTAACGCAGGTTTCATGTGAAGTTTCCTCAGCCCTCATCCAGGCTCCCAACCACTGGCATTATTGTTTCACAAAATGGTTTCCACTCCCTCAGTGGACTGCCAGGGGGCAGAGGTCAACTCTTTGTTTGTTTTTGTTTGTTTGTTTGTTTCTTGTTTTGTTTGGGTGAGTTTTGTTGAGACTGGATCTCTCCATGTAGTCATGTTTGTCCTGAAACTTGCTATGTAGGTCAGGCTGGCCTTGCACTCACAGAGATCCTCCCTCCTGTTTCTGCCTCCCAAGTGCTGGAATTAAAGGCGTGCACCACCATGCCTGGCCAGAGGTCAGCTCTTGCCCACTAAAGTAAGACCTCTTGGAGTCACCCAGCAGGCTGCTCTCTGTTCTCACACAGAAAGGCAGATGGCCTGAGGAGAGCTGTATTGGGAGGGGGAAGACGGGATCTGAGCGGCCTACAGCCTATCTGCCCAGGGTTAATTCAAGAAAAAGAAACTATTCAAATACTGCCGTAAGCAGACTGTTAGACAATCCCGGTGATTACTTTGTACCTGGTCTACACCCAGAGGCATCTGGCCATAGACACAAATGAAGATAGGACTAGGCAGGCCAGAGCAAAAGTCCACGGGGAGAAGGAGAACACGAGTTTGGGGAAAGCCCATGCACTCATTCATGACAGGACAGGGCGGTGTGGAAAACTTAAGCCAAACTAAAACTTTAAAAAAAATAAAAATAGAAGCAAAGAAGCCTTGAAAAATGAGTTTCGGACAATGGCAGGCTTCAGCAGGGGTGGGCTGTGGATCCCTGCGGGTCCGGGGAGGGAAGACGGCTGTCAGTCACCATACTGAAGGGCCCTGACGCAGACACTAGAGTCAAGTTCTCAGCAAATCATTTCACCTTCTGGCCCAATTCTCCTCATCTGTGAGATGGGTTTTCTCTGAGACTATGAGGAAGGTTCAATGAAGCCGGTAATAGTGGTGCATGCCTGTAATTCCAGCTGAGGCCAGAGGACTGGGAGTTTGAAACGAGCCTGGGCCACAGAGCAAGATCGTGTCTCAGAAAACAATGACAACAACCACAAAACACCTCCAGGAGTGTACTAAGAACCAGCACACCACTCCTGGTCATTTTAAAGGAAGTGCTTCTTGCCCTGCGGGAATCTCCCGGCCATTGGTCCGTGTTGTCCACTGTCTGAGATTCCAGGAGTGGAAGTGGAGGAGAGGCAAACATTTACCCCACAGACCCCAACCCGACCCCGGGGGCTCACGTCGTCCGTGAAGATGGCCAGCTTCCCGCTTTCCAACATGTCTTCCAGTTCTTCATTGGTGGTCGTCCTGCCAGCTGGGGGGAGAAAGGGTTTCTTGCTCAGGAAGCAAGGGCTGAGGTAGTGGTATGAAGAGCGCAGGAACCCAGGACCCACCCTCCCACCAGGCTCAGGCCAGGTGGGGCCTGGGAGTTTGGGAAGGGAGGGGCACACGCACTGATCTCCAGCTGCCGCTGGATGCGGTCCTTGCAGCGGTCCCGGTACTTGGACTGGGTTGCATTATACTCGGTCATTACTTCCACGAACTTCCGCGAGAGTGTGGAGTGCTAGGCAATGGGGGGGGGGGGGGCGGAGAGAGACAAAGCTGGGCGTCAGGGACAGAAGGCGGGGAGGGCTGTGTGCAGCACCAGCCTATACCACATTTTCAAGACCCTACTTCTGCACGCCCGCAGGCAACAGTAGGTACCGCCAAGCTCTGGCCCCAGCCACAACCCCACCCAAGGTCTGAGACTGCTCCGCCCGCAGGCTGGTCCTCTGCTCGGTGAGCTTACCTGGGTCTTGCGGATGCGCAGGTCCGCCGAGGAACGGTTCAGCCCCTCTTCCTGCTCAATGCTTTGCTCGATCGCTGGGGAGAGAAGGTACAGTGCCAGGCTGGAGAGCTGGGGATGAGGTGGGGGACCCGGCTCCCGGGTCCCAGGTGTACGAAAGGGGAGGCTCCAAGCTTGGTAAGGGCACCAGGCCCAATGAAAGGGACTATGGTGAGGTACACGGGCAGGGGTCTGAGGGGTTTCCCTAAGGCAGGTAGGGAGAGGGACAGAAGGTTTGTTCTGATGGAGGGGTTACACCTCAGAAGAGCTCAAGCCCTCGAGGGAAGACAGCCAGTCCCCTTAGAGGGGACTGCCTCTAAGTACTGTTCAGCTCCTCTCTGAACAAGAAGCAAACCCCACCAACATTTTTTTTTTTTCTTTTAAAGACATGGTGGTGTTACAGCACGGACCCTGTAGACTCAGACACTCCTACTTACTGTAGATCCTCTCTACCTTCTGACTCTCTTGGTAGCCGTTCCTTCCGTGGGAATTCTACAGCCAACAGATGGTGTTCAAACAGAGAAAACTTAGCTCTCCTTCTGCCCTGCCTGTTCTGAGAGTTCCCACTTCTTTTTTATTTTATTTGTTTGTTTTTTTGTGACAGGGTTTCTCTGTGTTGCCCTGGCTGGCCTGGAACTTACTCTGTAGACCAGGCTGGCCTCTTCCACACTGCCAGCTGAGTTCTAACTTTTGTGTGTGTGTGTTTGTGTGTGTGTGTGTGGGTCCTTTTGTTTGTTTGTTTGAGACAGGGTTTCTCTATGTAGCCTTGGCTATCCTGGACTGGCTTTGTAGATCGGGCTGGCCTTGAACTCACAGAGATCCGCCTGCCTCTGCCTCCCTGAGTGCTGGAATTACAGGAGTGCGCCACCGTGCCCCACTTAGAGAGTTTCAACTTCTAACGGATGTTTTGTACTTCTTCTGGGCCCTGCGCTCCTGACTCTGCCATTCAGACTTTCTAAGAAGAGCTTGCAGAAACAGCTTCTTCAAGTCAGATCAGAAAATGCGGCAGGAACCAATCACCCAGCCTGCTTAGACTCCCAAAGGCCTCCAGGCCAGTCCTGAGAGTGCCTCCTCTCTGTTCTCCTGGCAGCTGGGGGAGGAATGGAGCTAGATGGCACCTCAAGGCTATCCTGCAAGCAAGAGCAGGCACAGTGACTAAGCCTAATCAAACTGGATGTGCCAGTTCAGGCACACATGACCAGGGATCCAGGAATCTGCTAGCCCTGGCACTGGGCCTTATTATCAGGCCTGGAGCTAGGGTCAAGTCCGGACAGTGGGGTCTTCTACAACAGCTGTCAGGATGCAGAGATATCAGCTGACATTTTAGACTAGACACTGGGGTTCGAATTCATGAGAATTCATGGTCATCCTGATATCACCAAATTGAAGAAGATAGAAAAGAGATTTTTTTTTTCCTGGTCAGTTTCTTAAACCACCTTCATTTTTCCTGTCTTCTGTCTGGACCTGTTCCTGAACCCTTGACCACAAAGTTTCCTTTGTGGTCTTCTAGGAAGTGTTCTAGATCAGGACCCAATGTGTCTGAAGAAACCACTGAGTCTGGACCTGTGACCCACCTGCCCATCTCCACCTCCCAAGTGCCGGGAGTACAGGAGCATACCACCATGTCTGGCTACAACCTGACTTTTATGCTCTTTGTTTTGAGAACGTCATCTTAGAACTGGTTGTCCTGGAACTCACGCTGTAGACCAGGCTGGCCTCGAACTCACAGAGCTCACCTGCCTCTGCCTCACTGAGCTGGGATTACAGGTGTGCGCCACTGCACTCAACAAAAAGTTTTGTCTGCTTTTTTTAATTGGTTAGCATCAGAAGCTCTAATGGCCTCCTCTTATCCAAAAGGACAAAAGCTTGAGACTTCATCTCCCCGGGAAAGGTTAGCGGTCCTGGGGACAAGTTCTTTCGACAGGGCCTGTCCAAAGCCTAGCCGTGAGCCTAAGTGCTAACGAATGCCTGGTAAACGCCTTACACTGCTGAATTACCAGGGCGCATAAGCGGCCGCTCCTTAATGCTGTTATTCCCCTGGCACAAGCCGACAAGGAGGTTCCCAACCCACAGTGCTCTGAGGGAAGGTGGTTATTACCAGCACCCAAGTCCTTAAATTAGAGTGAATACATGAGCACTTGGCAAGGCCCTCCTGAAAGCGTGCCAGCCCCTGATGTCAGCCACACAGTCCAATCTGTCCTGAGCCGGGGATACTAATTCAGAAGCATTTGCTGAGCCCACCTACTGGGTGCTCAGTGTCGTGCTCAGAGCCTGTTCAGGACAAATGAGGACTGAACAAAATTAAAACCTCTCGGAAGGGTATGTTTCCTTCATTTTTCCTCCCTCCCTTCCTTCCTTCCTGGACCTTTTGAAGTAGGGTCTCGCTGTGCAGCCCACATTCGTCTGGAATCCGCACTCTTCCTGTTGCAGCCCCTGAGTGTTGTGACTGTAGGCCCTCCCTACTGTGACTGGCTGGAAATCTGTCTTTTTCTGATTGACAGTGTCAGGTGCAATTCAGGCAGAAACCCTACCCGGTTCATTTCCCCGTCAAGTGTCTCCACAGACTGTCGGCAAAAGCGCGCTTGTGAATTTCTCACTGTTTAGGAATCTGGCCTCCAGAAGCCTGTGGGCACTGCCACAGAGGCCTGCTCTGTCTAAATAGGGCAGGGACCCTTCACCACAGCTGCAGGACTGTATTCCTCACCTTTCAACTTGGACCGGACCTTGTTGGCCGTCTTTTTGATGTCCGCCGTGAGGTCCTCCAGCTCCTGTTTAGTCTCTGGGCGGCGGGGGCAGGGGGGAGCAAAGAGGGAAGTGAGGACCTGGATGGGGCCCCAGCCCCCGGATCCCCCCCCGAAGTGGCACTCACTCTCATCTGGGTTGGGGGCAGCAAGGATGGCGCTGTGCTGTTTCTTCACCTGCTCCACGTCCTCAGACAGTTTCTCGATGCAGCCCCGGATCTCTTCCACCTGGGGCAGGAAATCGGTGAGACCTCACCCAGGTTTGTGGGCCAGGTGAGGGAATCAGGAAACTAGCCGGTGTTCAGGGAAACAGGCCAAACCATGAGGCCAAGGAGTGTGCAGGAAAGGGGGGGGGGTGCACAGGGCAATGGAAGTTGGAAAGGGACAAGGTTCCGGTCCAGACATACAGGGGACTCTACCTGCTCAAAGAACTCATCCATAAAATGGTCTCGGTCCACATGGACCACCTCCTCTTCATCATCACTGTCTTTCGCCTGGAAGCAAGGCAAGGCCAGATCCATTAGCAGTCCCTGTCCTGTTCCCCACGGTTGGCTCCCTAGCTCTCTCTCTCTGCTCCCTGCCACACACACATTGGTGGTACCAGTTCCAGACTCAGAAAAGGGATCTTGGGAAGGGTCCTAGTCAAGAGGAATGGCAAAGGAACAGGCAGAGCCAGCACTGGATTATCTTGTAGAAGAAAGCCCTAGATGCCAGGGACCTTACAGGGAGTGAGCTAAAGGGAGGTATAGCCTCATGTGTTCGGGGTCTCCCTGGGAAGAGACGTTAGTTGAGGCCATTGCTGTCGACTCCTGGATATGAACAAATTTCAATATTTCAACAACCAGCTAAATGTCGGCCTTGTGATGATTGGCTCTGGGCTCCAAGGAGCATTCTAGAATGGTTTTCCAGGACTGGGAACCTCCCCGCCATCCCCTAGCAGCACCTGCTCAGGTCTCTCTCTTCCCCTCCACCACCTGACCGTCCACTCCCCTACAGAAGGTCACATCACTGTCAGGTTGCCCATGCCTGATGCCAAGTTGAGCAAGCAGGGCCAGGCCTGGCTGAGCCAGGTTGGCAGCACCCTGACCCCCTCCATCCCACGCCTCCCTCCTCCTCCCTCGGCACTGTGTTCTTGGAGGCCCTTCTGCCCCGCATCATTCACTCACTATCCTCCAGTTCCTCCCAACCATACCCCCACCAACTCTCTCTGACTCGGATTTCCCAGTTGCAACCTGCAGCTGCTCAGCCCTCCACCCTCAGGGCTCAGAGACACAAAGGGACTTACCCACCCACACTGCCATCTCCAGGCAGACCAGTGACACAGACAGAAGAGCTGACACCCAGGCACACAGAAATAGGCCCCCGACACCCACATAGAGCCACACTGCCACGCTGACATTCACTGCACACAGACCCAGGCAGAGCTGCATTACCCGACACGTGGGCACAGGGCATGGAGGAGGGTGCTGCCTGTTCACACAACCTTTCTGATCCCAGAGCTGGGCAGAAGGCACAAGAGGGTTCCCCTGGGATCCCCATTCCTCTTTGCTTGGGACAGAATTTTCAGGGCAAAGTTGAGCTCAAACCATCAACAGACACTAAGTCTGGAATCCCAGTCAGCTCGAGGGTTCAGCTCCAATCGCAGACAGACAGGTTGAACTAACGTAGCCAAGAGAGCCTCGATGAACTCAAGACAGAAGGCAAACAGCAGCTGTTTGGAAGTGGAGCCCCTGGGACCCGAAGGGGAGAGCTGACAGGGCTGGAGCGGATCACAGACGGGCCCCCTCGGAAGTCTGATGGCCTGAAAAGAAACTGCGCTTGGCTCTGCTGTATCTCAGCCTGCTCAGATCGAACCCAGACAGGGCCAGATGGGACCAAGATGCGACCAAGACACTAAGATAGCTTGGGATCCACAGAGCCGGGGCTGCTCTAAGACCAGCAATACCCGGAGGAGACCTCCTGCTGCAGGCCAGAAGGCCACGTGATTCTGCCCAGGTCTTGCTCAAACCAAACTCAAAGGCCTCAAAGGTTTTTGGCTTCTCCTACCTCAGCCTGCCCCAGGATGGCCCCTGGACGATGTTGGCCTGAAAAGCCTCTGAGAAACAGGGCTCTTCATTAGGATGCACCGGTTTCTGAGAGTGCCTCGGGGCCACAGCTTCCTGCTGGCCTGCTCCTCCTCCTCCCACCCACCCTTGACCAGCTTCACACCGGTCAGGAGAACCTTTTCGGGCCTAAGTACCTGGGAACCTTCCTCTTCCGTGCCACCGTGAAGAAGTCCTTCCTAAAGTCCTAGGCCACTCTCTCCTGCTGTTCTCAAAGCCTCTTTCCTTTCTTCCTAGAGTCTCCAGCCTACCTATTTACTTGCCCTTGAGAGAGAGAAGTAAGGCCTGAGTATGATTTGGTTTGGCTAATAACCACAAAGAGAGTTAAAATCCCTCTATGCTAACAGCCATGCTCACATTCATAATGCCTCTTGATCCTCACCACAGAGCCCAAGGACAAAAGCCGGATAAATGCTGTTCCCATTTCACAGATGAAGGAGCATGGACCCGGAGTGGGCAAAAGACAACGATTTTCCCGGGGGCTGCCAGGCAGACTAGGACCAGGACACCACGGTCCAGGCTTCCCTGAAGGCTCCAAGCCGCAATTAGTGCCCTAGCCTCTGGGTTCCTTTCCTCCCGGGCCAGCTCCTGCCCAGGCCTCTGCCAGCGGAGCTGCTGCATCCTGACAAGCCAGGCAAACAGCGCCACCTGCCAGCGCCTCCTGCGTGCAGCTTACACTCTTTCCATCTCTTCCAAGCTCCACCAACACTCTGTACAGAGGGGCTGGAGCCCAAGCTCACCGTTACGAGTGTACGCTGGTCTTGGAGAGGATCCATGTTCAGTTCTCAGCACCCACGTCCACACTGGGTGTGGACCTCACAACCACCTGTTTATAGCTCCATCCCCAGGGGATTTGATGCCCTCTTCTGGTCTCTGCATGGTCCTGCACTCATGTACAAACCTACACACACAGGCACACACACACACATACAGACACACACAATCTTATTTTAGAGCTTGGTGTGGCGGCACACACCTTTAGTTCCAGCACTTGGGAGACAGAGGCAGGCAGATCTCTGAGTTGGAGGCCAACCTGGTCTATAGAGTAAGTTCCAGGACATCAAGGGCTACACAGTGAAACCCTGTCTCAAAAACAACAACAAAGTAAGTAAGTAAATAAAATCCTTTAAAAAATCTTAATTAAACAAAAACTGAGATGGTTCAGTGTCGAAGAGAGCTGGCGGCTTAGACTGCAGGGGATCCGGCTCAGCCTGGGCTTCAGAACAAGATCCCGCCTCCAAAACAGGCCTATGCCTGGCATGCATACACTTGTAGTTACAGCAGAGGCAGCAGGCGGTGGATATTTGTGAGTTCAAGGCCAGCCTGCTCTACAGTTCCAGGCCAGACAGGGCTACATAGCAAGATCCTGTCTAGAAGAGACGGACAGACAAACCAACATTTTAACAAAGTCTGTCATGAGCACTGACTGACATAATCGCATCACTACGCTGACAAACACTTCAGAGCAGGCTCATCCATTTAATCATTCTTGACCACTCTGCCTCTCTGTCTCTGTCTCTCTTTCTCTGTGTGTCTCTGTGTGTGGCTCTCTCTGTTGCTGTCTCTCTCTCTCTGCATATGTGTGTGTACATGTGTGCTTGTGTGCTTGTGTGTGTGTGTGTGTGTGTGTGTGTGTGTGTAAACCAGGCCCTCAGGCAGGCTAAGGCAATACTCTGTCACTGAGTGACCTCCCAACCCTTGGTTTTCTGAGACAGCCATACTGTAGCTCAGGGTAGCCTTTAACTTGGAATCCCCCTGCCTCTGTTTCGTGAGTGCTGGGATTATAAGCCATGTCACCACCAGAGGTGCTCACTTTCATCCTTCCAGAAGCTCCTGGCATAGACATTATCACAGCTCCCTTTTATTAATGGGGGAGCTTTAACTAGAGAGAGGCCAAACAGTCTGCACGGAGTTCAGCAGCTGAACAGCCGCGTGGGCTTCTGACTCCAAGGCCTCACAGACCGGTGGGGAAACGCTGCAGAGGGGAGAATGCTGGGTGAGGGTGGACTGTGAGTCTCTGTGTCTTCTGTGTGACAGGCGAGGGGACAGCCCAGACCTGTTGCCCTATTGTCTGAAGCTTCACAGCAAACAAGGCCAGAGGTGGTGCTTGAAATAGGGACCTGTCAAGTCTCAAGGCTTTTTCCATCCATCCTCCTGACAGGTGGCGGTTCCCCTGTCCTTACGTGGCCACAAAGTGTCCCTCCACTCACTTTTTTCCAGGGTCTCACTATGTGGCCCAGGGTAGACAGCAATCCTCCTGCCTGCCTCACCCTCTTAAGTGTTGGAATCACAGGTGTGAGCCCATACCCAGCGTGCAGTTCCTCATGTTTTTATCTCACAGTCACTCCAGGAGGTAGATGTTCTTACTCCGATTTGACAGATGAAGAAACTGAGGCACAGAAAGATTACACAACTTGCCCAAGGGTGGTCAGCCGATGGGGTGCTGGTGGACGGCAGGGCATTGCTTGTCACCGTCTACCAACTCTTAAACACCTCGGAGGACTCCATTGGTAAGAGCTCCCGTCACCAGAAGCTTCCTTGGCCTTGAGGGGCATCCAATCCAAGCCCCCAGCTTCCATCTGGCTTCCTTAAAGTCAAAGTTTTCCGTATCAACAAGAGGGTTCTGGTGTGTGTGTGTGTGTGTGTGTGTGTGTGTGTTACAGGGAACTGGACTGAGGCTATCAAATACACACATCTGTACAGTACCCACCCAACCTCCTCAAGGTGCAAGCGCTATGTCATTTGATCTAAAGCCATCAGACCCCCTCCTGCACCCCTCAGGACTCTGTCTATCTGCCTCCTCAGCTTGGGCCCCTATCTCCCATCTCCCACGATCCAGCCTGGCCTTCACTTCTCCTCTTCCTCTATCAGACCACCCAGCCCACCTGTTCCCTTCCCAACCTTCCTCCTGCCTCCCCAAGTCACTCATTCATCTAACAAATATGTATGATAGGTACTAAGGGTGAGCAAGCCTGGGAAGAAAGAGCTTGCCTCCAGGGAGCTGAAGGTCCAGTAGAAGCGGGGAGACAAACAGAGGAAAATGAGTAAGAGCAACTCGGCATGAAAAGTAGCAGAAGGGAGGGAAACAGGAGGACATGATGGGAGCATTCAGGTGGCGTTCCATTCAGGGTGGCCAGGGAGGGTCTTCCTGAGAAGGTGACGTTTGAGTTGAGTCCAGCTATGCTGTAATGTGGGAGAGGCTGAATTTAAGGCAATGGGAGCAGTGTTCAGGGCAGAAGAGAACTCAAGGCAGAGAAAAGCCCAGTGACTGGAGGGTAGGGATGCTCACTCTAGGCCTCTGCACACTGTTACAAACCCGGAGCCTTCCTCGCCGCAGGCATTCTGGCCTCCCCTCTCAGTTTCCCCTTTCTTCCCCTGCCCCCTGTCCTCCCACCCCAAGCTGGCACACAATGCTCCTGTTTTCACTCTGATCCGCCTGTGTCATGCCTGGCTTCTTCCTTGACCCGGGGACACCTGCTCAGCGGAGGTTCCATGTCCAGGACAGTACCTCCTAGTTCCCGACCAAGAATGCTGGGTCAGCTGAGACATAAACAAAGCTGTTCAACCTCAGCTCCCCCAGCTCTGGGACTGCCAGCATCTCTGGAAAGTCTGTCTTTTTTTTTTTTTTTTTTTTTTTTTTTCTGTAGCCCTCAGGTAATTTCAAAATCCAAATCAAACAGGAGTCATCCAAATGGACTTATGTGACGCTCCAGAGAAACTCAAAAGCCACCTGGGAGCCACAGAGCACTGCTGTGCACCAGGCCCTTTCTTAGACACCTTGTAAGTACTAATTAACTTTTCATTCTCAAAATAACCCTGTGAAATGAGGTAGTACCATTGCTTTCAAATTACACATGAAGAAACTGAGGCTGGGCTGTAGCTCAATGACAAGAATACCTGCGTTGTGTATGTAATACCCTCATTTCAATCCCCGGAATCACAGGAAGAGAGAGAGAAAGACACACGGACACAGACATATACAGAGAGATACATATACAGACACACACACACACACACACACACAGACATGCACAGAGAGAGACACAGGCACACACAGAGACAGACACACACACACACACAGAGACAGACACACACACACTCCTGAAAACAAACAAAACCCACCCACCACCAAACCACCCCAAGTACCAGACAAGTTAAGTAACTTGCCCAAGGTCACACATGAAGTAACTAAAGTTAGGACTTAAGCCCAGACAGTCAGGCTTCCAAGTCTGAGCCCTCAGCCTCTGTATGATAAACACATTCAGAGGCTCCTTAGGAGAAACACAGGGCCCTGGCAAGACAACCAGCCCCACAGCTGGCGTTCCCGAGGCCCCTTCACCGTAGCCTCCGCCTCCCCGTCTCCCCGTCTTCCCATAGCTTGGCTTTTGACTCTGGCAGAGACTCTCACACTCCAGACAGCTGGAGCTCCTGTCTACCCCACCCGCGCCCTCCAAACCTCCCCTTTCCCTAAGCTGTGACTAACAGCAAAGTATTCACCCAGCCCCCTGAGCCCCAGCCCCCGACACCATCCGCCTCCTGCCTCAGCCACCTGGCTTCTCCCCACAGCAGCCCTGGCCACAGGTTTCCTCACCTCTGGGCTGGGAGCCCTGACTCACTCAGAAGAGTGCTCCCCACTTTTCTCTCTCTCCCTCTCTCTCTAATTATCCCAGAGTTCCGCCCCCACCTTATAGAATTTCTCTAGGTTTGGGAGTCTTGGAATATTCTTGGCTGCTGGGGATCTGGGTTCGAATTCTACCTTCTCCCTTGCTTAGCTGTGTGGCCTGGAGGGATTTGTTAACCCCCTGGGCTTCAGTTTTCTTAGATATTAGACAAGGCAGACTCAGTCTACCTTACCAGGAAGTTGGCTGGCATCTAATGGGATTGCCATGACAACCTGCTTTGCAAACTGCACCTGGAGGGGAGTTTGGGTATTGAAGCTGCTGGTCTGGGTTTGAATCCTGCCTGTTTCTAACTCTGTAACTTTGGCCAAGTTCCTTAACACCTCCGAGCCTCTGTTCCCTTTTCTGTGTGATGAGATCATGCTAACACCAGCCTCATAGGATTGCCGGGAACCAGAGGTGATTTCCTATAAAACACGCAGAACAGAGCCATCGCTACTATCATTTTCCTCACGCAGTAAATAACCCCTCAGACCTCCTCCCTCTGCTGTCGGCTCCTCCTTTCTCCCCACTTCCAACCTGCCTCTACCAGCGGTCACTTGCCTCTGTGTTTCCTTCCCTGTGCCTGCTGCGACTGGGGTCCACAAACCCTAGGCCAGCCTTCGGAGGCTCTCTAACAACAGAGCTCTTTGTCTCTCAAACTTGGGTCTCAAAGGCCAGGAGGTGTAGCCCACAACAACTTGCAGCCTGGAGGCCCCTGAGCCACTTGACCTGTACCACACACACACACACACACACACACTTGCTTGATGACCTTGGGCCAGTCCCTTCCCATCCCTGGACCTCAGTTTCCCCACCTGTCAGGTAGAATAGCAACCCCTTAGAATCCTGGCCTAACCCACTCCATTAGGACACAGTGGCCAGGGGCCCCCATCACACAGCTGACTGCTACCTCAACCTCCTTGGGCCCATGTCATTCTTTAAATGTCTCAGCACCCTCCCTGCCCCGAAACCGTTCTCACCAGGCCCTCACAGTCCTCCCTCCAGAGAGCAGCGGTCCCTGCAACCCTGTCCCATCCTCCCCCAGGTCTGCTGGCCGGCCTCCTGGAGCCTGGCCCCTGGCCGCCCGCAGCCTGCCCCTGGCTGCTCCCATGCCCCAGTTCCCCCGAGCACTGTGTGGCCTATGTCATACAGCCCAGTTCCGTGACCTGGTGGGTGGCTCTTTCTCTCCTCTCCCACCTTGGGGGTCACCTCAGCTGAGGCTCTGGCCCAGGGGAACTCAACCCCCCCCTGCACTCCCCCCTTTAAGCACTGCCCTCTCCCCATGGAGCAACACACCAGTGCGCGTGCGTGTGCGCGCACACACACACACACACACACACACACACACACACACACACACAACCAATACCACCACACACTTCATTCACTGCCAGGTGCTGGCATCTACTCCCAACCTGTGTCCTCCACAGCATCCCAAATCTGGGTCCTACTGGGCCCGGCCAGGCCAGTCACCACCTCCATCCGCCTAATCTGCACCTCCATCCGCCTAATCTGACAAACCTCCTTCAGGGATGATGGTGTCCCCCAATCTTCTCTTGACATTCACTCTCTCCCATCCCCAGGTTAGATTCCAGGGCCCTCCTGGGCATGTGGGCTGCTCAGGCCCCTGAGACCTCTCCTGCCCCCTTGTGTCTTAATGGCCTCCAACTCCTTCCAGCCACTGTCCTCCAATTGCAGGTTCACTGGAGGTATCAGGTGCCAGGAGATGTTAGGGTTCCTGGCTTCCAACATCTAGTCTCATCATTTGCCCCCCGCGTCCCAGAACCTCCCCCACTCCATCCCCATGCGCTCCCCAAATGCAGGGTCCCGCCTCCCCACCTCTCCCACCCCTTAGCTCACACTCCGCAGCTCCTGAGTCCGATCCTTCATCCTGCGACGGGCTCCTCCTCCCCTTCTTCGTCCTCCCGCCTCCGCTGCTGCTCTCTGCCTCTTGCCTCTGTGCTGGAGGCCGGGGTCTGGGGGCACCGGACTAGACCTCCCAGGGATGTGCCGGTAAGGTGCGTGGTTGGGGGCGGGGAGCCGAGGCCAGGCAGAGACAGGGGCCTGGGCCGACTGGGCTCTGCCTGGGCTGCGGTGGTGATGCGGCTGCGGCACAGGGTTGGATGGAGGGATGCGGGAGCCGAGGCGCGGGGGAGGGGGGCGGAGGGAGGTGAGGAGGAAGGGAGGGAGGGGGAGCGGAGGGGGCGGGGAGCAGGGGGCATGCGCAGCGCCCCGGGCTGGGGGCGCCTGGGGGTTGTAGTCCGGGGAGGGGCACCCACGGGAGGGGCACTGGGGAGGCCCAGAAGTGTGTGTGTGGGGGGAGGGGTCAGAGCCCAAGAAGCAGGGAGAGATGCGGAGGCAGGGACGGAGATGCTAGGTGAACTGCGGTTGGGGTGAACCAGCAGAAGGAATGTCTAAGGCAGCGCACTAGGGGAATAGCCTGGGCAAGGCAGAGGGTGTGTACCCGGGTCTTGGTGAGCCAGCCTACGCAGGACCACCTTCTATCCTGGCTCTTCGGCTCTGCCGAAGACTGTTTTGGATACTAGCAATGACAAACCTGACCGTGTGTGTGGCTGTTGCTTGCTGATAAGGACATGGGCTTGTTCTCTACATCCTTCGTCGGCACCCCACCTCGGGAGTGCCCTGGCCCTGTGGGTCTCAGCTTGCCTACCCGCAGGGACAGGGTGGTCACTACCTGCTGAGACCTTCTGGTTTAGCATTTTAGGTGGCTCTGTTAAAAAATAACATTTATCCTGGCCTAGAATGAATCTCAGTGGTAGATGATTGCTTAGCATGCCTGGAAGGCCCTGGGTTCCCATGCCCAACACCCAGGGGCTGCGGGCGGTGCTGAAGGAAGGAAGACCTCTGCTGGGACTAGAAATCTTGAATCTAGTGCTGCAGAGGTCCAGTTAGCCCTCCGGCCTCTGCGCTCCTCCCTCCAACTCAGTGCTTCATAACACATCAATTCTTCCTTTCCTCTGAAGTGGGGTCTGGACTCCCAACCAGGGGGGGCTTTGACCTTGCTTTCGGCAAACACCCAGTAACTGTCTTGAGACACCCTTTGTCTGTGTCATGGCAGGACCTCACATCCGTGACCTTCAGCAGTTCCTCCACCCAGTGGCCTTCTGATGAAAACTACCCCCTCCCTGTCGCCTTGCCTACCTCCTATCCCACCACCTCAACCTCTGGGCTCTGCCTCCCACTTCCTTCTAGCTTCTCTGTTCTATGGCCCTCAGCCAAGGTTCCTGGGTGCTATTCTAGGTTCTCATCTTCCTGTTTAGTCCTTTTGACTCTAGGTGTAGGCAGATGTGTCCATTGGCACACGTGCAGGTCAGAGGTCCGGGCTGGGTGTCTCCTGTCACTCCCCACCTTACTTTTAGCTTTAGTTTTTGAGACAGGCTCGATCAAGCGCTGAACCTCCAGCTTACGGCCTTGACTATGCTGGTTAACCCGGAAGCTTCCTGTTTCTGTCCCTCCGAGACTTACAGGGTTGCAGACATGTGCTGTCGTACCCAGCTTCTGTGTGGGTACTGCAGAGCTGAACTCGGTACCCTTCACCCACTGATCTCAGGTTGTCACCTCGCCGTCCTCAACCTTTCTGCCCCTTCACGCCTGGAGTACCCACCTGTACCCACGAGCCAGACTCTCCTCCCCAGAGGAAGCACCTCTCCCGGTTTCCATCAACGGTGGCATCTCCGTCTACCCAGCCGCTCAATGGAGCAGAACCTGTCCCTGACTCCTTCCTTGTCACAGCGCCCCTGATATGTTCTGAGTGTCCATCATGTCCTCCCCGACACATGATACATGCTAACTCATCAGCTTCCTAACCACTGCTGCTGTCCCTAGTGGACAGATCAGCAAGCTGGGGCTTCAAAGGATTAAGGAGTGTGTCCAGTGTTACACAATGGGCCCTTTGGTAGCCTCTCCCTCCTCTTAATGCTGGAGATTGAAGCTAGGCTCGTCGCATGCCGGGTAAATGATCTACTGCTAAGCTACACCCCAAGCCTGCTTTGCCGCATCCTGAACCTCCTCCTGTCCCGCCACCTCAGGACTGTGTGGGCTCTCCTCACCTTATGTTACCTGTGGCACTACCACGTCCCACACCCCACAGCTTCCAGGATGACGCTCAAAAGCTAACCTAAGGCCTGGCAGGGTGGTGTGTGCCTGTAACCCTAGCACTCAGGAGGCAGAGACAGGAAGACGTCAAGTTGAAGGCCGGCCAGGTTATAAAGTGGGACTTTGATTTGAAAACAAACCAATCGTCAAACAAACAAGCGGGCTGTAGAGGCAGCTCAGCAGTTAAGAGCACCGACTGTCCTCACAGAGGGCAAACCTCAGATCCCAGCGCTCCCATGGTGCCGAGAACTGCCTGTAAGCCTTGTCCCCAGGGATCTGATGCCCCCTTTTGGCCTCCACAGGCACTGCACCCAGTGCAGTTAAACACACAAGGCAAAACACACACTCAAAATGAACACAAATCTTTATGGAAGTTAGATCGAGAGTCAAGAGCACTGGCTGCCCTTGCAGAGGGCCCAGGCTCAACTCCCAGCACATGGCACTCACAACCCTCTGTGACGCCGATCCAGGGAATTCGATATCCTCTTTTTGCCTCTTCAGGCACTGCTCAAACATACAGGCAAAATACTCACAGATATAAAATTTAAAAAAAATCTTTAAAACAAATGAACAAAAGCCTACTCTGCATCCGGCTACCCGTCCAAGCACCTCTGAGCCTCCGCTGTGTGTTTGCAGTGTTTGCTGTTTGTGGACTAGTACTGAGTCCTTTCTCTTGGAAGTCACATTTTCATCCTGTGAGGCCACGGTCCAGTCTCCTGTCGGAACAGCACAAACCTAACTGCTGTTTACATATTTCCAGGAACTGACAGAGGCCAAGGACAAAGTTGATGCTCACCTGGAATCAGAACAAACAAATGGGCATGTTGACACACTCCTTGACCTAGGCACAAAAATGAAGAAAATAACCCAATAAAGTTGGCAGATTTTGTCTGTTGTGTTCATTGCTAATTTCCCTAGGGTTCTGTGGATCCTTGAACACAGTGAGTACACAGTCTTTGTTAAGTCAGTGAATGAGTGAATAGGGTTAATGCAGACAGGCACAAGGAGATAAGATGACAACTGAAATTCCTGTCCCTGCCCAGGCATTTCACTATTTATTTATTTATTTATTTAGCTTGGTGGTGCTAGATCTTGGTGAACCTGAAGCCTTGGGTATGATAAAAAGGACACTTTACCATTGAGCTGTATTTACAGTCCTCATTTTTTCAGAGGGTGATGATGATTCTTTGAGAGGGCCTCATCAGATAGCCTTGGCTGGCCCGAAACTTCTTAAGGTAAACCAGGCTGGCCTTGGTCTCACAAAGATCCACTTGCCCCAAATTTTTTTTCACTGTGTGCATACACACACACACACACACACACACACACACACACACACACACGAATGTAGGTGCCTATGGAGACCAGAGGTGTTGGATCCTCTAGAGTCGAAGTTCCAGGCAGTTGTGAGCTGCCCATCATGGGTGCTTCAAAACAAACTCGGATCCTCTTCAAGTGCAGTATGCTCTCTTGGCTGCTCAGCTGTCTCTCTATCCCTTTTCATTCTTTTTTAATATGTATCTATTTTATGTGTGTTTCATTCCCATGAATGTATGTGCACTATATGCGTGCCTGGTGGCCACTGAGGTCGGCAGACAACATCAGCTCCCTTGGAACCAGAGTTACAGATGGTTGTGGGCCACCATGTGGGTGCTGGAAACTGAACCTTGGCCCTCTGCAAGAGCATCAAGTGCTCCTTCTGAGGACGCGGCAACTGCTGCTCCTTCTATACAACTCTTTTTAATTTTTTGGTTTTTTGTTTTGTTTTGTTTTGTTTTGTTTGGAGACAGGGGTTCTCTGTGTAGCCTTGGCTGGCCTAGACTTGCTTTGTAGATCAGGCTGGCCTTGAACTCACAGCACTCTGCCTGCTTCTGCCTCCCTGAGAGCTGGGATCAAAGGCGTGCGCCACCATGCCCAGCTCTCCTTTTAAATTTTTATTTTGAGATAGAGTATTGCCAGTTCCCTCAAGCTGACTTTGAACTTCCTGTCCTTCTGCTGTAGCCTCCCAAGTAGCTGTATTTAAAGGTGTGTTTGAGGGCCAGCAAGGCTCAGCAGGTGCAGACACTTGCTGCCACCTAAGATCTAAGTTCAGTCCTTGGGACCCGCTGTGAAGGGAGAGAGCTCACTCCTGAAGGTTGGCCTCTGGTCCCCACACTTGCACTGTGCCACACACACACACACACACACACACACACACACACCATGACTAATTCCTTAAAGGTGTGTGGCACCATGCTCAGATTGTTCATTGACCTGCTGCTGCCGCTGCTTGTTTCATTTTGCTTGTGGTGTTGGGGACTGGATCCATACCCGTGACTGGCTAGGTGAGCACCTTGCTAGATCCTTTCCGCTCATCACATCCAGGATCCCTTGAAATCTACCAAACAAACCTATGAGGTAAGGCTGTATCATGCACAAATTTCTTTTGTAGTCTCTTTACCTGAGTGACCGGGCTAGTGCCCCAGCCCCTGCTCAGAAATAACCCTTTTCCCCCATTGCTCTTGCTGGCACATGCTGCCCTCTCTTTCTTTTCTTCTCCTCTTCCTCCTCCTCCTCCTCCTCCTCCTTCTTCTTCTTTTTATTTATTTTTTTTTTTGAGACAGGATTTCTCTGTGTATTACTGGCTGTCCAGAAACTCACTTTGTAGACCAGACTGGGCTCACAGAAATCCACCTGTGTCTGCTTCCTGAGAGCAGGAATTAAAGGCATGGCCACCACAGCCTGACTCATGCTGCCATTGCTTAAGCACCCTGATGCCAATCAAAAGTCATTCCCCACACTTTTTTCTCACCAAGCCTTTCCTCGTGTTCCCATTTCCTGGAGGTCCCTTCTCTATCACAGCCTTCACAGCTTAGCTTCTCCATGGAATTTTTTTTTTTTAAAGAAAAACTCCCATGGAATTTGAGGGAAAGGCTATTAGATGCATAAATTGTGTTGTAGCCTCTTTCCTAGAAATTCTGATTCCATAGATGTGGCCCAGGACTAAGGAGTCTGAGTTCCTAGCAATTACCTCTGAGGATTCTTATTTGCAGTCAAGTT